GGGCGATCTGTCGAAGGTAGCATTGTCGAATTTGTTGGCCCTATTTTCAAATTTGGATTAATTTTTATTTTATTCATTTATTTATTTATTTATTTATCTTTCTTCATAATTCTTGCTAGGTCTGATTCTCTATATGTCTTTTGATTTCTACCTTATAGCCGTTTCATTTATTCTATTTTGTATACAGATTAACCTACTGGATTCACAAATGCACTTTCAAATTCGAGTCAACTACCACCCCGATGATTTCTGCACGCTTTGGCTACATTTTTATRGATCGCGAAAAAGGAGCGTCATACAAGGAGTGTATACAAGTATCATCGGCATTTTATAAAGCGGAAAAAAGCAAATGGAAAAGGAACAAAAGAATAACAAAACTACCTATTGACAGCATTCCAGTCTAGTCTGTCTGTCTGTCTGTCTATATTATACCTAATATTGTCATGTTCACTATTACTGTCCCATTCAAAACCTCGACTGAACAACGACTGAACTCTTCCCCAGGGCTTCTCTGTTCCCCTTTCTTTCAAAATAGCCTCAAACAGAAAACGCGTTCGCATCGGCCGCTCACATGACATTCAGTTGCGCTGSGTGTTTTTAACGATTACCGCTGGAGAATAATGCAGTGACAGGCAAACAATATATATTTAATTATATTTCACAAAACAATGGCCTGGGAACGAAGTTGTCAAAACCTGGAGAGAAACTTTTATTTCCAAGAATTCAATTTTTAAAGGAAAATGCAATATGGGATTTACTCCGTGTGGTTAGAATAAGTCTTTTCGCGGTTAGGAAACAAGTTGCACGAGGAGCCTGTGGTTTTACACCAAAGCGAGACAAAAATCAAGCAACAGCCCAAAAAGTTGTCATATATAGCTTGTTTATTCTTTTGCAATGTCAGAAAAATCATTTTTGATGGCGGAAAAAATGGTGAATGTTGAAATTATTCGGCACTTTTGCTTTGGAGAGGTGCAGCAAACATGTTGCCCGTTCTGTTTTAACCACGAGAATGTCTATTTAGTCTCCTCTCGCAGCCGTTAGGACGTTCGTTCCCAGGTCACTCATGACCTGGGAACGAACGTCCTAACGGCTGCGAGAGGAGACTAATGTCTATTGAGCTGATGCGTTTAAATCTCAACGTGCTAGAATTCACTCACTCTCTTGATTTATTTCATTGATTTTAATCAAAATACTTGCTTACCTGGCGTCGTAGTCGCTGGTTCGACAGGAGTAGTAGTTGTTGGGGTCACTTTTGGTGTGTAGTTTGAGGGACGTTGATCCGTTCCATACAATATCAACGACCAGCTAAACAAGGTACCTGAGAATGATAAATTTAACAATTCCAAGTGAACTTTCTATGATGTGTACTCTAATCGAACACAAAAACACGTCAGAAATCAACCAATCACATTGCGAGAATACTGAGTACTATATTTCACCAGAAAGCATGCTTTAATTATACATGACCTTGAATTGCCCTGGAATGCAAAGAGATGCAATTTTGTGCAACAAGGCATGATGGGAGAAGTCACATTTTTTTCATGTTGAATAGAACAAAAAAAAAGTAATTGTGCCGTTTCTACACAAAAAACATAAAATTGGCTTTTAGGGGGAGTAGTCCCATCATGCTTTGTTGAACAAAATGGCATTGCTGTATATTGGCTATTGCGGAGAAAAAAAGGCAATTCCATTGCAATATGCCAAAAAGGTGTTATAGCTACGACTGCCTTGTACTAACCATCACTATTGTAGTCCGAATCTAAATTTTCAATCGTTAATGTCCATTTCCCAGCAGRATCCTCTCCCCAATTGAAGAGCGTTGTAATAAACCAGTTTGTCAGGTTTTTATAACCTGTCAAGTTGTCAACTTGGCGTCGTCGTGTAAGAGGGGAACTGGTACCAGATGGTGATTTTAGTTCTAGTCCCAGATCTCCTCGGCGACTGAATTCAAGATCGACTTTAATCTGCACATGTTCCAGATACTTGATGTCACAGTYAGCGACAGTTACCGACACACTGGACGGGATTTTCCTGTAGATGWATAATACACCAAYAAAAGGTCTTACCTCTGATGCGTACACGCAAAGTACATTCTTCTCAAACAGCTTAAGCTTTTACATTTTAATTMATTGTAAAAATTCTATCTAGCCTTTTCCCCAGGCATTACTATTGTAATGACMGGTCACAGGCTTGAAGATCTAACGAGATAGGAAGGAAGAGGTTGGAATTCTCATAGGGCAGATCGGATAGTCCAGGCTTCGTACTCTTTTGAAGCTCTAACTTTCAATGACTATCCATGACTCTTTATATGAATGGCTTCCAAAGTCCAAAATACATAAAGCCTAATTCGTAAATGCTAGCAATTCATGCGTGTGACCTTAAAAAGGTTGCAATTTGTTAGCATTCAAACTCTCAGCACAAGCTACATGTACTTTCATTAAATATATTAAACATTTTACTTAATAACAATAAACATTTGTTTTAAGTTTATTCTTCAAATATAAAAATAATTATAACATAACAAAAATGAAACTTTTTAATGACATTCCACGACAAAGATCTATGATTTTAAAATATTTCAAGAAAACGTACGAAACCTGGCAGAGTCTCGTTTCGAACTGAAATAGCTACTCATCCATGGAAAAGTCTTTGCTTTGTTGCATATGGATAGTGAGTATAATAATTTTTTAAAGTGAACCTGTCACGGTTCGCGCATGCGCGCGATCAGAGATTTTTTACGGGACGTAAAGACGGCTAAAGACGAGAGAGTTGATTGAAAGTTGAATCCGTTGCAATCTTGGATTTACGGCGGGCATCTATTTCACCTTTTTGCATTTTCAAATCAATTAAGTATTTGTTTATCCTATGAGAATCTATTTTTTTTTTCGTGTAGACGTTTTATATTTTTAAAATAATTCACCAAATAGTTTTCACTCGCTTCTTTAACCCTTTAACGTCCGCTTTAGGGATTATCGTTCCTTCAGGAACGATGCTTCTAAAAATTACAAGTTTCCGAGATCGCAAAAGAAGACCACCAAATGTACTCCATGACAACAGCTAGTAATATAACTCTATCTTAGAGTTAAAAAGATTTCAAATCAAGCGCGATACTTGGGCAAAATGGACCCCTGAAAGATAGGAATGCCCAAATTTCGACTTTTTGGTGCACCAATAAGGTTGGGAATCACGTCTTTTCGTCTCCAGTTTAGAGTCAAAATCATCTTTTGCAAATCGAAATTCTACGTTTTTTGAAATTGCCCATTCCAGATCTTTAGTATTTTTGCATTTTTGTTTGGTGGAAGTCCCCACAGATCTAGCCACAGGCCCGTTTTTGAGACCCAGCACAGAAAACACAGATTTCTCACTTGTGGGTTCGAACTGCATCATGGGAGTAATGTTCAAACTCGACAGGGAGCATCCAACGGTCTTGTTCTCATATGTTCTAAAGCCACTCGCACCTACAGGCAAAATATTGCACCGATTGCATTCTTTGGATGTTCAAACTTGCCAATTTTACCTTGGTAGGTTCTGAAATCTGCCACAGAACGACTAGAGAGGCGACCTTTCTCTAACGTCGGCAATTCAAAGCTAACTTCGYATTGGCGACATTGTCTTCGAAAAATCGCTTCCCGCCTCTGATTTCTTCCAGAAGAGTGTCTCTGCCGCCTAGTCGAGCTTAATAATGCAGTCCTAGGGGCTTCTGTGGCAGCAAATGACTCGAAAAATCACTTAAAAACGGGTTTTGGGCGAATTTGAGAGCGAGTGCTGGCTAATTTAGCGACCCGTCTCAAATTCACCGGGCGTCGCTGATGTAAACAAACTCATAGGAATGTGAATCTACAATAGTTTAATTGACAACTCCTTATATGGGGTACATTTAATTTTTTGAAATATCAGTCTCAAAAACAAGCTAAAATACAAAATAAATCGCGGACGTTAAAGGGTTGACGGCAAGATGGCTCCCAAAGAATTCAGTCCACAAGATAAAAACTTTCCACTCTCTCAGGAGTACTCAGCGCAAGACTATCCATCAGGAAACCCAATGATAAATGTGCTGGAATTTGCGCCAAAGCTAAATGGACGCTTCTTATTGGTTCGTTTGAATTACGARCGACAGTTACTCGCGTTTGTTTTTGTAACAGTGGCGCGTGCAAAGCAATCAGTGTGCTGTAGAAGGCCGAAGTGCCGAAACGTCCTAATAAAGAGTAGAATTTCAAGTTGCAATTTATATATATAGAGACCCAAACCTCTTTATGTCACTTCCTTTTATCTCACATGTTAGTTGARGAGGAAYTGTTTTCCATTGTTTGGCAATGTGAACCATCCGTCCAGCGTCCATTAAACCAAACCCATAGAATTTACTGACTCTAAATCCGGCCTTGTTAGTTTGCCAATCTCCACGCTGAAGTTCATTTTCTCCTGGTGCTGATCTCGAAGTTGTCACGATAATATGCTGCACATCACGCCAGGTTAGGTTGGGACTGAGGATTGAAAAAATCAGGAATGATTGTTATCAATAYACTATTAAAGCTATTTTTAAAGCAAACTTTGTGGTTGGCAAGATGAAGTAGATGTTGTAAACTGGCATGTATTTTGTGTACAATATTACAAATTCAACTATATGAAATCCTTGTTTAGAGTATAACACAAACTTCATTTAATTTTCTTTTTTTTTGGTCATCATTTTTGAGTTTTTGTTTGTTTGTTCGTTTGTTCATTTCTTTTTTGGTTTGTTTGTGTTTTTTTCTTTTTGGTTGCTGACTTTTATGGAAATCGGTAAACATTGGCGACCACCCATTTTGAAGATTCTTATTCACGGTTCTGAATGCAGTCGATGTTATAATATTATTATTAAAAAAGAGAGCGAATAGAGACTGGAATCTAGTTATAGTAGAGCCGATCTCAACATTTTCACAACCTTACTTTGCTTGAAGAGTGAGAGCGATGAGACCAGATGCCATAGCTGCAGCAGCAGAAGAGGCTCCAAAATCATCTACACAACCTGACACTTTGTCTGCAGTTATCTATATTATATTTAACGTAAGAAAGATTAGATTACGAGAGTGCAGGCTCTAAAATTCGTCAAAAATTTCACGCCTTCCGTGGCTCACAAAGCCAATAAGGGAATGTCAAAGGACAATGATCCAGACTTCGAAATTGTCCCATTACATTATGACGTCACCGCTTTTTTTAGTGCCCAAAAGCAGTGGGAATTTGGGTCCATTCATATTCTCTCTAAAAGTAGAGCTTCATTGTATCATGCCTTCGGCCTTGTGTTTATATGTCATGATAAAACACTCCTACTCGTTTTTTAAATACCACATAAAGCACTGATGTTTTATTAATCAGTTCTATATCGGATATAAAGAACTGCAATCTCGTACCCAGAGTCCGCACTATTGCCATCCAGCGGAAGTCAATTCGTGAGAGACTCTGGAGGAGTCCATTTTTTCTGGATTCGTAATTGGTTGAAAATGACGGGAGCGCGCATTGTTTTCAAGTCGGTTTTCAAGTCGCCAGCGCGCGCTCGCCTYATTAGTCAAGAAAATCATCCTTTTTTCGCATAACCACACATGTTTTCACACATTTTTGTTTTTAAAAAGGTGTAAATACCTTTTCTAAACTAAGTTGTTTCCTAAACCTTTTTCATTTTTGTAATTTTAATGCTTTAAAAGCAGAAAACAAATTTGACCTCATTTGCATAATTTGCGACGGAAAAGCSTCGYAAATCCGGTSGATTCCTCCAKAGTCGATGATGATGATTGGTYGAAAATGTATTTGAAAGGTCATYTCGACTAACATATGCCGTGCCATTAATTTTCACATCAGTGAATGAGAGTGAAGTTCTCTGRCCACAGCATCGGKAGGCWAACTCTTAATCAGATATGCCTACACTACTATTATCGAGCTAGATTCTGTGACTTACAACTTTTCCAATTTTTCTTAGTGTGTCTCGGCTGTAAGCCGTTGCCATGATACTAGGACACTCTTCTGCATAAGTAGGGTTTGAACCATCTTCGTTRACACCGTTGATGGCGATAGTGTAGATACTGTTAACATAACCATTATAGGCACAGCTGTCCTGGGTTATACCGCCATTACCAGCTGCAAATGTGTAGATCGCACCCAAACCATTACGGCCCTGGAGAATACAATCATGATTGTAAAACGTTGAGTCTCAAGGACGACAAAAACGTACCATGGGTACCAGATGTTGGTGTTTACCATTTCAAGTTTTTTTTGTTTTATTTTGTTTTTCAGCCCTTATGTAACATGCTATCTACAACATGGAGTTTATATGATAACTAAGCTTTTTTTAGGAAAATAACTGAGCTGCGCGTGATTTCATTAGATCACTGCTTGTATTGGCCTTTTTTGGAAATGAGTAGGCTGAGGGCTGGAGATGAGTAGGCTGAGAGCTGGAGATGAGTTTCTAAGTTTACTCTGACTTAAAAAAAAATAAATAAGGCTCAGCCGTGGTTTATACTCTGATAAACGCACGCTTGGCATTTGAAACACACGAGAAAATTCCAAGAAGCACGAGCTGAAAGCGATATATATACCACACTTTTTTGGCCAATCAGAGCGCGCGTTAGAATTCATCTATATACAGTAATAAAATTATAAAATATGAACATCTAAARTAAAGGTTTAAAATAAGATATAAAATATAAAAAAGAATATGTTGAAAGTTTGACATGCTTTGTAAAAGTGCCAGTCAAACTGCGATGAGTAAAGAATTGTAACATTTACAAAGAAAAGGTTTATTGGAACAGCATATTTCGGTGGCAAAAATCATCAAAATCACAAAAATTACTAATATTCCATGTTTTCCAAGTTCTTTTATGTCCAGTACCTTTTCTACTCCACGTTTGAGAGCTGCACTGGTTAATGTTCCAGGACCTTCTACCTGCCATCCCATGTCCCCAGGACCCCAGCTATTAGAATAGATGTCCACTTCGTCCAGCTTGTAGACCAAGGCTTGGGATTCTGTAGCATCAGTTGATTTGATATTTTCATCAAAGAGACGAATTCCTGATAATAAAAAATCCATTTCTTAATCTTGAAGCAAGACACCACTGACAATCAATATTCAAATTTGCCTTCCCAAGCTCCCTTTCGGCATTAGCTCCTATGATATCACTTTTTGAATCATTTATAACTTTTTTTCCATTATTAGGTGAACACTTAACTGCACAATTGTTGACATTTTCATAACAGATTAATGGSAATTAATGCCAATTAGATGCATTAAAATAATTATAATAAATCAAATAGCAAATTATCCAATAATTAAAGCAGCTTCATTTGGTGGACAAAACAAAACATTTTGCTCTCTTGGGAAAAAAAATCTGATGTTTTTTTACTGCAGTTCGAGCTGCATTCTCATGAACAGATGGGGTAGTATATTTATAATAATAAATAACAGTAACAATTATGGACTAGTAATGTTACAAATGCAAAAAAGTAAGTCAGTGTAATTAACTAAGTTGTGTGTAGTTCTCAGTAATTTAGCAGTTTCATATTAGGAAATAYTTCAAAGATATTCAATTTGTACATTTTATCAATGATATGAAGAGGACCTCTAATATGTAATCATATTCAATTTGATGTTACCATGATTATCATACTAACCTGCAATTTTAGCATTGTATGCTATTCCAACACCACACAGTGTATTATTGGCAACACCAGCAATAACACCTGCACAATTGTTGCCATGTCTGCAAACACAGTGTAGTTGGTGTTAGTATGATGAAAAAAGAGACAATCAAATAGTTGAACAATRTCTGAATTTATTTATAAAATATGATTGTACATGTACATATCATTCCAATGCTGCATGAAAAAACATGCATGAGCAACAGCATGGATCAGTTTGTACTGCCATCAATCTTATGATGCTTCTCATCTATACCTTTAACATTTATGCTTCCATAGATTGATTGCCACCTCAATAACATTGTTAGTGACTTACAGAATGTTTAGTGCATTCGACATGACCACTACATCAATAACTGGAAAAACTTATCTCACCCTGATACTGTTTTTCCACTTGGTTCTGGWATGGGATCATTGTCCAGGAAATCATAGCTGGCAGAAGAAATCTACAAACAACAACATTTTCTTAGTCATTGGGTTGTGAAACCTGCATGATCACCAAAGAGACATGACAATGACCATGATTGTTACCATCTCCCCAATCATCATTACTGTGCATGCAATTCAAAAGCTTTTAAAATTCAATTTTACCATAACTTGTAGAATTCTCGAGCGCTGATTGGTTGAGAGCCATTGTCAATCTTAGGACAGACCGATGAAATGACAAATCCATGGAGCACGGAGCCGTCGTGTTCCAGAAACAGTTTTGTTTTGAAAGTTTTACTTTGCTTTCGGCTTTGTTATGGTAAAAAAAAAACAAATCGAAATTGCTTTTCTATGGTCTGTACAGTTATCGAAAATTCAAATGATGCCAAAATGATCAAAACTCGCTATGCTTGTGGTTCAAATATTATTGATCCAAATACGCTCAAACTCAGCAGCTTTACTATATTTTAGTATGCTCTTTCTTGTCCCGGTACCTGTTTTTTGATTGMTTCAAACAGTATAGAGTTTGTGACCAGTCACCAGTCCCTTTTTGAATTTCAAAATGGTCAATAACATGAATAAACATATTTTTTTTWAAAGCATTCATTGGACACATACATAGTTTTTGGATAGTTCAGGATGCTTCCCATTCACACCGTCATCAACCACTGCAACTACAATTCCCTGTCCTGTGTAGCCTTGCTCCCAAACAGATGTGATGTCGTATGTTGCACCATATTTTCTGTTCTGTGGAATATATATTAAAAAAATTATTGTTTTTAAGCTTCCAATATAATACGTAATTATATCACCCCTGTCGATTGACTTAACRTCAAAGAAATTATTAATAATCATTTCTTAATTCATTATCTTAAAAGTGCAGTTATGTCAAAGGCCCAGGTATGCTTAATCAACTTGTGTTGTGTTAATAGCTATCCTCTGAAAGGCATCTCTACTGATGGGACTCCTGTGTTAAGGTACCACAGGAAGACCAAGACACTAAAGAGTCTGTTTCCTTGGTGGAATTATATCTTTAGTGCTGGAAAGAGTAAAAATAGTCAAACTATTCTAAATGCACTAAATTTAAATGCAAAAGAACTTAAAATCGTTTTGCCTAATACTATATAAAGGAGTCTCGTAATTGTTTATCAATTATTAATCAAAATTAAAAGTCAGAAACCTTAAACGGAAGAAGTAAAAAATTAAAGAATAACTTTTCAATAACATAATGAGATGTACTTACAAAATACCACTGTTCATGATATTGCTTATCATTAAAACTGATTGATAGAAGCTGGTATTTTTTCTCCTTCTGTTGCTGGAACCACTCAATCTAAAAAAAGAACAATCATTTATAATGTATTATAAAACTTATTAATAATGCATGAGCTATCACTCCAATAAGGACTGTCCATTTAATCAGGTGATTGACCTTGTAAATCTAMTACAACACTGTGTACAATACTAGTGTTGTGACGGTCGTCACCTTGAGACAACCCAACACTTGCAAAGGTCTAAGTTTATAATATTGCATCATAGACCTTCACTACTGGTTTTGAAGCAATAAAGACAGATAACAGAACTCGCTTATGCAACAGATGGCTTGCTTTCCATGTGGGAAGGATAATTCTTCAAAATGTTCTGTGTTGCAGTAAATTGCACATGCCTAATAGCCAGGCATGTCGGAATTATGCGCGGATGCGGACGCGCATAATTGCTCCCTTTCCGCATAATTTACCAAATCGCGCATAATCCCGCATAATTCGTGTTTTTTTCCCATGTTATACCATTTTTTAAGATGACTTGCCTTCTACTAATGTTTTTTGTGGTCCGTTGACTGTTTTTTTGATCAAAAAACGCTCCCAAACATGCTTATAATTTTCCGAATATAGTTTTGTTTTCGTGGGCTTCACAAATGTACCAGGCGTTCAAAATTTCATCAGAAAAGAGTCTGGGCACTAGCATTACTGGTCACCCTGTGCCTTACTAGATCACGTGACAAATTCCAATATGGCGTATGATACAAGTGAGATGTAAAGCGTGCGAGAACGAAAAAGTCTAAAAAGATCTTTCCTTCTGTTGGTACTGCCTTCTGTACTTCGTAACTAAGATAAAAACGGAGTTTTGCATGAAAAACAAACACAATAACCTAAATATATGTAAAATTTCCCAAAGTTTACGTTCCTGTGATGACGTCATCCCGCATAATTTTCCGCATAATTCACCCTTTTCTCCGCATAATATGGGGAAAAAATTCCGCATAATTTTGATTTTTTTCGCGCATAATTCCGACATGCCTG